GAAATTTAAATTTGGGAAAGCCTCCCTTCATTTGAAGCGGAATTCAGGCCTGCTCGGATTTGGGTTTGTCCTCAAAACAGCCCTTCTGCCATCTCCCTTTCTTTTTCCCAAGGAAACAACCCTTCCCTTTGAGAAGGGAGAGGGTTAAACAGTGCTAGAAAGAAATCAGTACAGATAGGAGAGACCAAGCAGGTGTATCGGTTGATCTGGCCCCATAGCTGACCTTAACAGTCAGTCATCATTTTTATTCGACCGTCAGTCAGAAAAAAGTACATTTTGTCAATACACAGTTAAAAACATCCAGGAAGATTTTAAAACTTAGCCAACACTAAAGTGGGCTAAACAGATAGCCCCATATCAATACAGTCAATTATAGTCTTGCGACGCTTCAAAGCTAAGAAGAGAAATTTGGCCACCAAGGAAGGTATAGCTCTAGTGGTGTTATTCAGCAAGTGTAAAACCTGGTTTTCTCCGGGTAGGAAGCTGAATTGACATAAGAGTGGGTCTATAAAATTTTGTCTAGTCTATGACAACGACCTTAACAGAATCTTCTCTGTTCTTTGTTATGCTTCATTAGGAATATCCATCGGTGGGTCGGCTGATTTATTATAAGGATTAGTATACCGCACTTCGGTTATGTTACTGGGCTATTTACAAAAGGAATAAAATAATTAAAATGTAAACAAAATAAGTTTCGACCCACAAAATGTAACTATAACAAGTTGAAAGGCCAGACTCAGGAAACTACCAGCTTCTTAAAAATAGAGGTGCCTTTATATAACCATCTTAATGTGTACTAGAAGGCCTTATCTTATTCCAGAGAAAGAGAAACTTCCTAAAGGACATGTTCCACCTGACAATGTTACTTTCACACCCTCTCTTCCTGGCTGCATCAAATGAAGCTATCTGCAAAAAGATAGCATCTCACCTTCACAAATGCACACAGTGAGATCTTTTCTCAGAACATCAAAGCTCCTTAGGCTGTTAATAGTTCAAGGTGGGTGATTAGCAATCGGGAGCAAATCGCATTTCGGTCCACAGGCTCGGGAGATGGGAAAGAGCAGGTGCAACAGCTGGCTGCAGAACAAGCCAGACATAACAAAAACACCATTTGCTAGATGATAGATGAACTGGCTGCAGTCAGAGTGCCAAGTCATGGTTTGCACAAACCACCAAGCTGAATTTTGCGTTCCAGATGTACAGCTGTATTTTGCATTCCAGACATACAGGCAAACTTACCAAGTCACTCTTCTTGATGGAGTGACTGAGAGAAAATTCAGAGCTGATTAGGAAGGAGCTCTGGTTGAAGTTGGAGCTTTCCTTGGGCTGCATGCAGGAAGCATCCGGGAGACAATGGGCTAACTCCCAGTACTATCAAGGATAAATAGAGACACATGATTTAAATCGTATTAGCAGTGAACTCCTGAGGCTCCCCCCCCCCAGCTCCTTTCCCTCCCTGCCTTGTCTTTTCACTTCTCCTAAATGATACTGAGTGCCAGAACAGCTTGGCCACAATAAGGAAACTTTGCCCATGGTATGACTATTTTCCACCTACCCACTTTGACTCTCTGGCACCCTGTCTGCATAATCTAGCAATTCTAAAATATAGACGCTCTTTTACAGTGGTGCCTCGCAAGACGAAATTAATTCGTTCCGCGAGTTTTGTCGTCTTGCGATTTTTTTCGTCTTGCGAAGCACGGTGTCGGGAAAGTTTTGGAAAAGCTTCAAAAATCACCAAAGTCTTTAAAAACCTCAAAAAAGGCTACCACACCGCGTTCTATGAGTTGCTCCTCGAAGTCAAGTCGCAACTGTATTAACGGTGTTAAGAAAAAGGAAACAAACTTGCAAGACGATTTTCCCTATGGGCTCCGAAGCAAGCCCATAGGGAAAATCGTCTTGCGAAGCAGCTCAAAAAACAAAAAACCCTTTCGTCTAGCGAGTTTTTTGTCTTGCGAGGCATTCGTCTTGCGAGGTACCACTGTACTCTCGCAAGATTGAATGTTTTGCCCTCGGCTGTACTTGAGGGACGATTCCAACAAATTCCACACAAAAAAAGATTATGTCTCTTTGGAGATGGTAGTACAGAATCGGTGGCGCATGCCCTTCTGGTTTGCACTCTTTAAAAGACTTGAGGAATGAGGTCATCACCCCTCTTTTATTGTCCATTCCAGGTCGCCCAGCCACTGCCACAGTATCCTTTCTCTTGGCAGATCAAGATGAGCAGGTGACAGCAAAGGTTGCAAGGTTTTTAGCTGGGGCAATTAGAATAAGATCCACTATTTGACTATTGATTCAAAGCCCTAAACTGTATTTTGTATAATTGACTTTTTGTTTTTATTCTTTGTAAATCGTATTGTTGTTTTTTTGCTATGGCCGATGGCTGATGCAAATATTCATTCATTCTCTGCTAGGGCAATTTCTAGCCCCCTTCTGCCTTTCTCATTCTTCTGTTTACATGCCAGCCTTCTGGGCCGCCATCTTGAATAGATTACCTGGTTGCAGGGCTGTCTTACAAGGCGCTAGGCCCAAGTACTGTTTAGCACTGTCGCTAAAGGCACAAACTGCATACACATCCTACATTTAAAACACATTTCCCTCCACCACCACCCAAAAAATCCTGGGAACTGTAGTTTAAGGTTGCTGGGAATTGCAGCCAATGATTCTTTGATGGCGGAGATGTGCTTCAAATTTGTTTTCAGTGTGTGGTGTGTACACAGATTCAGGTAGGTAGCCGTGTTGCTCTGATGCAGTCGAAATAAAATTAAAAATTGTCCAGTAGCACCTTAGAGACCAACTAAGTTTGTTCTGGGTATAAGCTTTTGTGTGCATGCACAGTTCTTCAGAGTGCCCCACTTTTTTCCGTCTCGCACCTCTCAATCAATGGCCACTTCATTGACTGCTACCAGCAGCGTTCACAGTGTGAATGTTTCTGTTTCTGTAGCAACATAAACCATGCTTGTTTGTTTTTCAGGCAAGCCAAAGCCATGTATTCCTGCAAGGCCGAACACAGTCATGAACTATCCTTCCCTCAGGGAGCCATATTTTCCAATGGTAAGACTTCTCCTGTTGTTGTTGTTGTTGTTGTTGTTGTTGTTGTTGTTGTTGATGCTGATGTAGCAGAAACAACAGAGAGTCCTATGGCACCAAAAGGACTACATTCGCGTCATACAGTTAAAGCACTACAGCATCACTTTAAACAGTCATGGCTTCCCCCCAAAGAATTGTGGGTTCAGAGAGTTGTTTAAGAGACCCCCCTATTATATAATAATAATAATAATAATAATAATAATAATAATAATAATTTATTATTTATACCCTGCCCATCTGGCTGAGTTTGCCCAGCCACTCTGGGCAGCTCCCAATCAAGTATTAAAAACAATACAGCGTTAAATATTAAAAACTTCCCTGAACAGGGCTGCCTTCAGATTCTTTTAAAAATAGGATAGCTACTTATTTCCTTCACATCTGGTGGGAGGGTGTTCCACAGGGTGGGCACCATTACCAAGAAGGCCCTCCGTCTGGTTCCCTGTAACCTCACTTCTCGCAATGAGGGAACCGCCAGAAGGCCCTCCTTGAGGTATACAGGACTATTCCCCTCCTCAATTCCCAGAGTTCCCTGGGAAGAGCGGTTGTTAAGTTTGCTAACCCACTCTGGGAACTGTAGCTCTCTCAGGGGAATTAGGGATCTCAGAACCCTTAAGAAACTACAACTCCCAGGATTCTTTGGGGGAAGTTCGAAGTGGTATCTTGGTGTGAATGTGGCCTGACAAATTTGTTAGCTTCTAAGGTGTCACAAGACAGACTTAACGCTTCTCCCCTTTCAGATTAGATGCCATGTGTGTTGTTGTGCGTCGCGGTCGTCATTATGTATTCACAAGAGAGTATTGAGGTACCTTCTCTTTTTATTTTCTTCTTCATAGTATATCCATCTGTGGAACCGGGATGGCTCAAAGCGACGTATGAAGGCAAAACAGGACTTGTTCCAGAGAATTACGTTGTCTTTCTCTAGTAATAGTTAGCAGACAGCAGCATCTTCATGGTATCCATGGTAACAAGCAATAAGCACTGTGATTTTTATATATATTTTTAATCTGACACAGATATGGGGGTCTGCCAGTCAGCCCTGTGTGTGGCAGATTTGACTTCTGCAGCCGCAGACAATGTAGCTCCTTATAAACAGAACAAACCTGGTGCAAATAGTCAACTGGGTTTGTTTTCGGATGTTTGAAACATGGTACTCTTTTGGTCGTCTGCTGCTAGCAACCAGAAATTCATTTTATTTTTAAGACAAAATGATAGCAGCCAAAAAAATAAGGAGCTGAAAACAAATCATCGTTGCTTGGGAAAGCTCTGCCTTACCCCCCAGCAACTAAGCATTTGATTCTCAATCGGTCCCAGCCATTTCAGAGAAGTCTTTGATTTTCTATATTATTTAAACTTGCGATAAAAGTCCGCAGAGATCACAATTTGCAGATGCAATACATGTCATTTATAGGGCTGCAAAGGCAATTAGTTGGAGCACCAGTTTAATCAAAAGCGTGCTTTTCGTTTTTAAGAAGCATTTTTTAAATACAATTATGTGTTTGTGTATGTTCACTACTTTGTGTCTTTTCCATATAATTATTATTAATAAATTATATTTATAGAGTCCGTCTTCCCTGAAATGCTGTAATCCTAAATTGGAACACCAACTACAGGAGTAATTTATGGCTTTTTTATTTATTTATATTTCCTTTGCCTTTGGTCCTTCAGACTGGGGGAAGGTGTGATGTTTTTCCATTGGATAAACAAAAGCAAATAAAGCAACCAGGACCCTGAAATTTACACTGTCCATGAGGCAACAAGTGAGAACTAGTAATTTTGAGCCTTTAAATAAAATCTGTTCTGTTGCCGCCGCTCATATTGACACATGCAATGGTTTTAGGCTCTTGAATTATTTTCTCTCGCAAATTTAACAAATACCTTTGTGGAGTGTCTTCGTTTCATATGTTCTGAAAATTATGCCCAGAACAAGTATGTATAGCACTTTCACAACAAGTGAAACATTTCGATGGGCTGATCGATACGAAATATATTCCATATTAATAAATTCAGTATTACAAGAGGTCCGCTCAAAATCCATGGTAAGACATTACAGTAGAAAAAGAGATAGCAATGGGACCCAGAGCAGTAACAGCAAACAAAATCACCAAGCCATTTGGAATAAAAACCAGAGCTTCCAGGACTGCCAACCAGATAGACAGCACTCAGGTGGAGTTACTGGTTTAAATAAATGGTGCCTCGACCGAAATGTGGCTACACATCTCCACAGGGACTCATCTGTTTCACACCTGGACGTTCATTGTTCAACCATAGCCTCCACTGATGACTTGCATGTGCGAATGGACCACTGCAGGCCTAACAGTACCGTCAAAGCCTTTCAAAATGCTACAGATAAATCTTGCATGTACAGTGGTACCACGGGATGTGAACGGGATCCGTTCCGGAGCCCCGTTTGCATCCTGAATGGAACGTAAGACGCGGTGGCGCGTCTGCGCGGGTCGCATTTTGCTGCTTCCGCGCATGCACATGACGTCATTTTGAGCGTATGTGCAAGCAGCGAAACCCGGAAGTAACACGCTCCGTTACTTCCAGGTTCCCACAGAGCGCAACCCGAAAGCGCTCAACCTGAAGCACATTCAACCCGAGGTGTGACTGTATAGGCTTGCACACCATGCTTTTCAGCGGTGTCACATCACACATTTCGCCTGCCCATAATCATGTGTGGAGGAATCAAGCAATGGCCATGCATTGTGGACCATTCGCTTGGTACAGAAGACATGATATGGCTGGGGGAGGGGAGGACTTGTCTCAGCGATGCTCCTCGGGTCATGCAGATCTCCTCGGGATCTGTTTTGTCTTGGAGCAACGGAAGTAACTGAGAATAGACTACTCCAAGCAGCCAACAAATAAAATTAGCAGCAAGACCACTTCTTATTTTACACCCCTCCACTACAGTATGCATTCCAAGAAAGGGTATTGCCCAGGCAATTGGCATTAATGGTTCACCCTTGTTGATATTTAAGTGCCTAGTAAAGCCACAAGCTTTAAGTGATAATCTGCCTCCTCCCTCTTCTCATTAACCTTTGACATCTAGTGAAAAGGACTCCTTGGCAAAGCTTACCATCCTATAAACACATAGCTATCCTATTAAGAGTGACTTTGTAGCTCTTAAACAAACCTAGTGGAAATAGTTCTTTATTTCTTTGATGAACATGGTACTCTTTCGGTCATCTGCTGCTGCTGGCAACCAGAAATTCGTTTTCTTTTTTAAACGGAATGATCGGTTGTAAAGGCATTTCTGTTGAGGTACTGTTTGGATTCTGTGTGTTGATGTTTGAGTATAGAGTTCCATGAACTTCCATCGCACGTTCTGCTCGTAGGACAGAATTGTGATTACCCTTCACAAGAGTCCCCTTCAGTTTATCTCTGAACGGTCTTAGGTTGCGTTCGCAATAGTTCCCGGTAAATGTGAGACTTTAGAAATAAATATTATAGTTCTGTGTCATCGCTTACGTTTATGCAGTTGACAGGAAAGGGGGACTGTTAGGGCTGTAGATCTGTTTGGAGGTGCTGTCCCATGGTCTGTGCCATATTCCACCAATCTACAAGGAGAAACATGGTGCTCAGCCATTGTCTCATTCTGACATGCTGAAGTATTTGAAGGATTATTTCCCCAGGTGAAGCCTGTTTCCTCACACATGGCAGTATGCACTGCCATATGTTCTTGCGACAATTTGCAAGATTATGTGGCACAGTATTAAATGGTCCCAACTTGCCAAAAATTCAGGCATTCAGGTGCCATTGCACTCTTGCCCTCTTGGATAAAATGGGCCTTTGAGGTTCTCCTTATGTCCAATGGTGCTTAGACTGTGCCTTCGTGTCTTATTCCATTCTCCACAGATTCATTTGTGTAAATAACTTGGTAGTGCACTATGGCCAGGGGGTGTGGTTCAAATAACCCTGACTACAACAACTTTTCCATTCACCCACAATGCTCCTCTTCACCTTTAATTGTGTTTGTTGTGCCATCCCCTTGAGGAAAGGACTTTCACTAGTCGTGGCGATAATAAAAGGAAGCAACAAAGAACTATTTCTGCTGCTAAAAATGAGCACCACAGTTTGACTCCCTGCTTCTCCTGCCATACATTTAATTTAGACCTGCTCTGTATAGAGTCTCTCTGAGGTGAGTTGTGATGGATAAACTAGTGAGCTCACTGGATAAACATAGAGCCCTGAGCAAGCAGGTGTCATTTATCAAAAATCAAGGGGATTGCAAGGTTGCTCCTTGCTTTTATATCACATATTTTCAATCTGCCACATAAAAGAAAGGCTGTGTCGGGCCTCTTAAAGGAACTAACAACACATCAACACAAAATGCACTTCTTGGAGCCTCTGTGGCGTTATTTGTGTTGTTTGGAACAGGAATATGCCACAACATGAGCCACATTCAGGCATTTAATTCTTCCCAGTTATGATGAACCACAGGGTCAAGTATGAGTGTGGTTTTTTAAAAAAACAAACTTCAACTCCCATCAACTCCAGCCAGCATGGCAAATGGCCAGAGATGATTGGCTTTGGGGTCCAAAACATCTGGAATGTACCATGTTGGAAAAGACTACCATGTTTTGGCAAATCCATTGGGAGACTTCATATGAATTGCACAGGAAAGCTGGCACACTCAGCCAGAAGGTGCGACTAGCACATCACTTGCTTGAGTCAATTCTTAATGAACATCCTGTCCAGGGTAGGTGTGGATTGCATTTGGGTGCACATGGATCTCTCTCACGTGTGCATCTCATCATACATTTTAAAGACAGGAGCTAAAATTGTGCTGGCAAATAAATATGTGGATCTGTTTCCTCCATTGGAAATTGAGTTTACCAGACTGAAGTGAAATCTCTAGGTAGGGGAAAGGTTTGAATCTCCAGGTAGACAAGAACATCTTCCCTATACAAGTGAAGCAGAAATGATCCCCTCACTTCGACTTGTGATCACCTGTATTAGCTAAGGTTTCCAATGAACAATTTGCTCATTTGTTAGACTTTTATTTGAGCCTGGCTGGATTGGGGCTAATCTTGCCAAATTTAACTTAATTGTAACATTGTTCAGGGCAGCTTTAGTTCATTTTCTCACAGAAGACTGGAGTCCCTTGTAATATTTTCTGTCGGCCACTGAAAACTACGATGCAACATAATACTGTTGCTGCACATGTCAGTATTTCATAATTTATATGGCATTGCTCTGATTATCTGATGCTCTTTGTAGGTCCCTTTTTGCAAGAAGGTCCTCTGTGCTTTGGAATGTAAAGGATGCAAATAGGACTTGGCAGTTTCTACATCTGTAAATTCCATTTAAATTAATAAAAAAAATTACAGCTACTAGAGTTTTATATAATTTTGAGGTATTGTTTTGTATTTTAATACTTGGAATCTGTATCCAATAATATCACAAAGTCAAATATATTTAAGAAGTGGTTGCAAGTAAATTATAGAACTTTTTTTTTGTTTATTCTGTAGTGTGATTTGGTAATTATCTGCACTCTGTACAGCCACCTATATGTGTATGTGTAAATAATAACCACCAGCATGTACTTCCTGGTGCATTTTGCTACTTCCGTCTAACTGTGTAGTACTTTTACACTAAGAATGTAAGAAATATTTAAAATAATTAAAAGTTCCTTTTGTTCCTCCTCCTTTTGTATATGCTTTTTTATTATTTAAGTGCCAGGGAATGCACTCCCTGCAAACCCTCTCCTCTGTCTATGAGCTTCGGTCCCTCCCTTCATGAACCAATCCAAGGTGCTCACGTTAGTGTTTGAAGCCCTAAATGACTCAGGTCCCAGATATCTGAAAAATCACCCCTTGCAAGTGTTAAGATCCGTGGGGCTAGGTTGTTCCACCACCCTCAGAAGTTCAGGCTGGTGGCCTGGAATAGGGCCTTCTCTGTGGCAGCCCCCTAAGATGTGGAACTCTTCCCCCACAGAGGTGTGTCTGGCATCTTCGTTATGGAACTTTTGACAAATGCTGAAGATCCGCCTCTTTACCCTGCCTGGCTCCTGAGATGTATATTTGTGATTGCAAGTTGTTTTAAACTGCTTTTAAGATTGTCTTTTAATTGTTATCACCGGCATTGGGACCTTAGGGTGAAAGATGGGCAAGTTCTCCTCTTCTTCTTCTGAGATGAGCAGAAGCTAAAGTTAGAGGTAATACAGTGGTACCTTGGTTTACGAACTTAATCCGTTCTGGAAGTCCATTCTTAAACCAAAGCGTTCTTAAACCAAGGCATGCTTTCCCATAGCAGCGGGGGACTCAATTTACAAGTGGAAAACACTCAACAGGAAGCAAAACATGTTCTTATTCCAAGGCAAAGTTCACAAACCAAAACACCTACTTCCGGGTTTGCAGCATTCTTAATCCAAGTTGTTCATAAACTAAGCTGTTCTTAAACCAAGGTACCACTGTACAAGGATGGGGAACCTCAAACCTAGGGAACCAAATGTTACCCTCCAGGCCACGCCCACTCCTTAGCCACAGCCTTCCTCCCAAGTCAACTCCATTCACACACCTTGAGTGTTTTTGCCTGACTCAGGTAACGCTTCTTGCTTGCCTGCATGGAGGTGTTCATCTGCCTCAGCTGCAGTAACAACAACAACAACAATAATAATTTATTATTTATACCCCGCCCATCTGGCTGGGTTTCCCCAGCCACTCTGGGCAGCTCCCAACAGAATATTAAAAATATGCTAAAACATCAACCATTAAAAACTTCCCTAAACAGGGCTGCCTTCAGATGTCTTCTAAAAGTCAGATAGTTGTTAATTTCCTTGACATCTGATGAGAGGGCGTTCCACAGGGTGGGTGCCTCTACCGAGAAGGCCCTCTGCCTGGTTCCCTGTAACCTCACTTCTTGTAGGGAGGGAACCGCCAGAAGGCCCTCGGCACTGGACCTCAGTGTCCAGGCTGAACGTTGGGGGTGGAGGCGCTCCTTCAGGTATACCAGGCCGAGGCCATTTAGGGCTTTAAAGTTCAACACTTTGAATTGTGCTCGGAAACGTATTGGGAGCCAATGTAGGTCTTTCAGGACCGGTGTTATGTGGTCTCAGCGGCCACTCCCAGTCACCAGTCAACAAAAACATGTCTCTCCCGTATCGGTCTCTACAGCCACAGCAGGCGCTGTAACTCTCCAGCGGTCTGACATCGCCCCCAAAGGCGCAGTCCTTCATTGGCTCCCAAGGCAGACAGATTCACACCAAAACTGTAGAAAGGTAACATCTACATTTGAAGCCTTCTCGCTTTTTTGTACATTTACCACCACGGGCACTTGTCCCCCCTTTCCCAGAAGGGAATGTGGCTCTTGCTAAAATTTGCCTGCCCCTGGAGCCTGACTGCTATGGCCTTCAGGAAACATTTGCCTTCCAGGAAGTGTTGCGAGTTAAGCGTAGGCACTGAGCCACAGTCACGTTTTTTTTGCTGCG